CTGACTCAGAGCTTGGGCTCCCTCTGCCACTGACTGGGTCCCCACCTGCCAAAAGCGGTGGCTGGGATGATCCTCTCACACTTGGGTCAGCTCTAAACAGCTGCCAGTCTACCCTGTGTTTTTATGTTAAGGAACTGTAAACTTCTGGAATCTTGTCTATATTTTGCCTACCTGACCACAGGTCTGCATGGGCCTTGATGTTCTCTTTCTGCTGTGTGAGCACAGGAACTCGTGCTAAGCATTTCTCAGAGACAGTAACGAATTGCACAAGGATTGGGCAAGATGAGCCTCTCAGCATAGATAAACTTGAAGTCCGCAACAGTAATGTTAGTATCCACCCAAGAGAGCTGCAGGTGCCGTTCTGTGCTGCTGGGTTATGCCCCGGTCCTCGTCATTTGCTCTGTGAACCGTTGAACCACCCAAAGAAGGGCGGCAGCAGAATGCACGGCCCTGCAGGCTGGAGCAGTTAGAAAACACCCTCGGAATCGCTCTTTTGTTACTTCTCTTTTTCTGGCTAATTATTATCCCCATCCCCAAGCCCAAATGTGCAATTTCATTTTTCCGTGGATGTTTACAGCTTTGGATACTAGGAAAAACTTTCTTAGTGTAATTGTTCAGTGTTTGAAAAGAAAAACCATGTTAACACTATTTCTACTTCATAAGTTTCTTCATCTGGTCACAGGATCAGCAATAAAATTTTCTAACCACACTCTCTTCTCACGCCTAGAGAACTCAGAAGGCTCCGAAGCCAGCTTTGGTTAAAGGGTGTGAGTGCCAGCCTTCAGAGCAAGCAGCCCCCTCTGCAAGCTCCTAACAGCAAAGACTCTGAAAGTGTTTGAAAGACCTGTGAAGAGCCTGGCTCAGGTGTCCAAGCCAGCGATGTTGCACATGTGGTTGTTAGTGTGAGAGAAAGAATGAGCTTAGGAGAAGCCTCACAAGCAGAGAAAGTTATCTCCTCACACTGCCCATCACTCACCCGCCCTAGGACACACCTCACCAGCCCAGACCCAAGGGCCAGTACCCAAGTCCTGGGCCCTTGTGGCTGTGTGGTCAGCCCAGCAGCAGCAGCTTCTGGATTAGCTGCCAGTTTTAAATCATGATTTACCAAAAAAATAGATTTGTTCCTGCTAGCTAGGTGCAAAGAAACAGCCCATCCTTAGTACTAAAGGTGACAAAACGGTGAGAATATAGAGTTTGCCACACTGTTCAAAGTCATTAAGAATAGCCAAGTCTTGCCTGGTGTGGTGTTTGTGGGCAACAGAGAGAGGGCGGGTGGAGCAGCCCACCTCCTCACAGGGCTTCGTTGACTCCACTAAAGATAGTCCTCAACCAAAGCAATTGGAATAAATATCATACAAGGTTATTACAATCCAGGAGTGGATATAACCTAGTAAGAGTGCCTAAATCAGTGAGGTGGTTTCTTCCCAGTGACATGCATTCAACACAATTCCTGATCAGGGTGGAGAAAGTGAGGTGGGTAATACTCCATCTGAAATGCCCCCAAGGAAAGGGAAAAGTGTGGGTTCTGAGAATGGAATGGCAAAATGATGTTTCATGTCTGGCAGAAGCCTAAAATAGATGATCAAACCGGGAACTTGTGAGCGTTAAGAGAGAGTGTTGTGGTCTGAAGGCACCAAACTGATCCTGTTGACACAGGATGTCACCAAGACATTTGACAATATCTACTCACCTTAAGAGAGATGTTGGTGACGTGCACAATGGATAGTAATATGAAGTGGGATCGGAACTGGTTGAAAATCTCCACCAAGATGTTGATTAGCCCCTCTGATGGAAAGGGGGTTCTCTAGTGAGTTCTGGGCTCTATCTTTGATCTTACCTGCTTGACATTTTCATCAACTATAACTTGAATGGCATTGTAGAGGTTTGTTCATCAAATTTGGGGATGATACAGCTTGAGGGGCCTGATTAAAATGGTAGGCACAGAATTTAAACTGAAAGTAGTTTGAGTTAGCTACTGAATGTTCAGTAACAGCAGTGTGTACAGTCCTAAACCTGGAAGATCAAGGATAAACTTATAGGGTAGGGTTTGAGAAGCCTGGCTTGAACATTTTATGTGAAAACACCTGAGGGTTTTTAGCAGGCCCCAACTTAACTGGCCACCACAATATGATGTAGCTACACACAAAGGGGCATGTGTACACACAAATACACACGTGTATGCACACTGCTGAAGCATTCCTCTACTGTAACAAGGTTGTGATCACAGGAAGACAGCAGTCAGCTGCCTTTTGCCAACGGTACTGTACTCAGTTTTGGGTACCGCATCCTGAGATGGCATAAATGGGCAAGTATTGAAGGGGAGGGCTGGGCTGGGAAGTGCTGGATGCTGAAACACAGGAAAGAACAGAAGCAGCCAGGGCTCTTCTAAGAAGGCTTATAAGTACAGTGGTAGGGAGAAGCAGCCAACCCTATAAATACGGGTAACAGTCACAGCCATAAGGAGGACAGGACAGCGGACAATGGGGCCATGAGACTTCTCCTCTGGGGTTCCTCCCAGTCTGGGAGACATGGATGAAGAGAAGTCAACAGGCCACAGGCACTGGGAAGACCCTCCAGTGAAGGTGGGAGACAGTGCTGCATGGCCCGGGGCAGACCAGGAGTGGGTGCTGGCCTAGGGAGGTGCAGGGGCTGAGGGGAGGGGGAGGGCAGCCTTCAGACACTCAAAGTGCTGCCCACAGAGAAGGAAATAGGGCTGCTTTCTGTTACTTCAAAGGGAAAATTTAGGATTTTTGCCATCCCACTGATGGCAACTAGTGAGCAGCAGATTCTGCTCTGTTTGGGGAGAAACTCCACATCCAGGCCAGTGAGTGAAAAATGTTCCTGATACTCTGGGGGAGGAGCTTCTTTCCTTGAGTGGGAAGTGAAATTAGGGGATCCCTGCCATTCTGTCCTGTCCACACTATTGGTGGACCTGGGGAGCTGAGCTGGATGTGGCCTGCAGACACCGCCCTTCAGAAAACAGCTGTGAAAGGCTCCTGAGCACGGCCCACAGTGGGAAATGCTGCATGCTGCTTATGTGTGTGTG